AATTCTAACGAAATGAAAAAAACTATTTTTCTTAAAAATATAGAAAGCGAAGAAGTTTACACTATTTTATTGACTGAAGAAGAAGCAAAATGTTTAGGAGCAGGTAAATTTATTCATTCTTTAATGTTTTTTTTCGGAATTATTATTGCAAAATATTTGAGGTTATCAATTGTTGTCGTTTTTCAAAATTCTCGGTTAATAATGACTATTCCGAAGAGCGTATAATTATGCATGATGCGCGTGATATATCATTTCACCTTGTTATTTACCGAATGTTAAACGAAGAAAAAATGGTCCATCACGCGCAAGATGCGCTTTATAGATCCAAGGAAATATTTTCAAATTTTTATGCTTTTAAATTTATTTTTCTTTATTTTTAAATCCTTGTTTTTTTTACAACTACAAAGCTAAACGAGATGAAATAGGATAAGTTTATTATATAGGAATGTGTGTGTTTCTTTAGGTAACAGTCTTAGCATACATGATACATAAATAAAGAAAATATTTTTTACGGATTTTCTGATTATATGATTGTTTTTATTTAGATAACAATATAAGTGAAATAAATCATGCAGAGTCTTTACATAGTGATCACAGTGACAAAGTTGGAGGTATTTTTTATAATATTTTTTATGTAATAAGTGTAATTTCTGAATTAAACAAAAATTTGTATTTATAGTTTTTAAATGGCCTCATAAAGCGATTCTTTTATTGATCGAAGAATATAATTTGCGACAAGAAGATTTCAATGGAAAGATGTCACACAAGAAGATATGGTCATTAATCGCAGATAAATTAAAAAAACATGGATATAATGTAACTGGACTGCAATGTTTGTCTAAGTTTACTGGTTTGAAACGAACTTATAATGGTATTAAAGAAAGCAATAGAAAACCTAAATCTATAGTATGGCCATATTTTTCTGTAAGTTATTAAGTTAATATTCAATACAATCTAATAGCTGTCTAAAAATATTAAGATAAAAAGTAATTTTTTAACTTTATACTCTAAATCTATGATGAGTTCTTACTAGTTATTAATTAATAATTTGATTATTAGAAAAGTGTTTATAATTATTTTTTAATATTCTTATAAAAAATATAACTTAAACGAATCTTTTTTTAGAATATGGATGAATTACTTCATTCAAAATCATGTACATTACCACTAAGTACCACAGTATCATCGATTGAAAGAAAACGTAAGGCACATTCTGAATACAGTACATCTAGTTTAGATACTTGTTTCGAAGACGAAAGGCTGGTTCATAGTAAGTTCATGCCTATTTCCTTTCCTACTTTTCACTTCGTATTTATCTATTCGTAGTATGTTACATTAGACAGGAATAAGGGAAGAAGCAATTAGGTAATAGGCATGAACCCTTGCTTAAAAAGTCCGATGGGATCGGATAGGGAAAAAAACTATGTGATTGAATCGTGTTTTAGATTCATAAATTTCAAATTGTTTATCTAAAATATTTTTGGTACTTTTGTATCGTTTTTTATTCAAGTTCTATCTAGTGAACCAAATAGAAATAATTAAAAACGTATCTAAGCCATACGATAAAAACGAAAATGTATAGAAATATAGAAAATCTATCAAATATTTCAGATCAAATTTCAGATGAGATTCTATTGGATTTTGTAAGCAGGGATATACATACTTTTGAAAATGCATATGGGATATCAAATGGGATTTGAACCTAAGATCTATGGAGTGATAACCTAACATGCTAACCCTATAATCGTATGCTTGTTTAGACAATGTGGCATTCAAGTATTATTCAAGTATTATTCCTCGTATAAGTTTTTATGGTGAATTTACTATATGCTGTCGAAAACATTTTTTCCATACCATTCATGCATCTCCAGTATTTCTTCTATACCTCTTCCGCACCACTTCCGCATCATTTCCACACCTTTTCCGCATCTCTTTCGTACTCTTCCACACTTCTTCATCCATGCCTCTTCTATATCTTTTTTGTCATTTCTTCCGCAATACTTTCGCACCTCTTCTGTACGTCTTTTGTATCGTACACTTCTACACTTCTGCATCTCTTTGTACCGTTTCCATATCTTTTCTGCATCTCGTTTGTACTTCTTCCGCAAATTTCATTCGTATTTTTCATATATACATTCTAAGTTGTACAATTTATCAAAAAAACAATAGAATCTTATAAACTTTGTTTCTTATTTCACCGATGGAATGTCTTACTTAAACATTATATTAGTAACGATTCATTTTGTATAGTAAAATTACGATAAATTTGTATAGATATTATTATGGAAAGTCAGATGGAAATTTACGAAATTTTGTTTGTATTTTTTTATATACAATACATTCTGATAAGTTTTTCAATTCGTTATAAAACGATAGAATCTTATAGAATTGGTTTCTTACTTCACCAATAGAAACTCATTGAATAAATTTCAGATTAATAACAATTTATTTTTATCATTAATATGATCAATTACACAAGCTCACAAAAAAAAGTAAAAATAAAGCGAAAATGGGTCATTTTTTTTGCTCTTGATTGAAAATTTATTCTGGATGGTCCTATTTTGATGTCAAATTCGTATTTAGCGATTCAAAATACATAAGAATAGCTAGGTCTCCACCTTAACACAGAGTACTTTTTTTATAGGCCTGTGTTATTCATTAAATAACGATAGAAATTAATGAATAACACAAATTCATCGTAAATTAAACCATCAGATACAATAAAATAGAATACGATAAAGAATTTCTATCAGTTTCCTATAAAATACAAATCTTATAGAATAAAATACGATAGAATTCATATCTAATGCTGACGAGCCTTGATGCTGATGATACAGCTTATAAAAAACAATTATAAGTTCAAAGAAATCCTTACACATAGAGCTCATTACATATAAATTTATTCAATTATTTCAATCTCAAATTCTGGATAACACTAATTAATAACATTATATGATATTATTTGTTTTATTTAGAAAAATCTCGGCAAATGTCTACTATAGAAGAATATATGGAAGATCTTCAAAATGGACGAAAAATTTCGGAAGAAGCTATTGAGAGGCGTCATAAAGAAAATATAGAATTACATCATCGATTACTTAATTCATTTGAGAAAATGTTAGATATTTTAGAAAAAAAAATGAAATGTTAAAACAGTATAAAAGTGTGAAAAAAAATCACTTATTTGATTAATTACATACTGAATTACGAACTTCAAAACGTTTTGCCTCAAAATAAAATAATGACGGAGCTTTTATTGTAATTATCAACTACAAGAAAAAATAAGCCAAAACAATGAGCAAATCAAAGGTCTTGCTTTAATTAATACTCTGTATCATATTTAATTTACAGAACGTTTCAACCTTATTAACAAAGAGAGACTCACATATATATTTCATGGATTTTTGATCAGCTTTTGCGTGTATATTTGTTGCTGATCTTTATATTGTAAATACCTACATTTAAGATAAAATAATTTTAAAATTGAGTAGTTGAATAATACTTGTTACTAGTCTTTAAATTACATCTACATTTAAGATAAAATAACATGTTAAGATTGAGTAATTGAATAATAATTTTGTAATTACTGTATTTTGATATTTGTAAAAGTATATAAGAAAAAGTATATTTGTATTAAATCTTTTTAACTTACTAAAAATTATTTATAGACATTTGTTGAATTAAAAAAAAATTGAGATCTTTCTTGTAAAAATTAATGATTGTTTATTAGAAGTACAATTTGGGAATCCAATAATACAATTTAATGATCCAGTCTTTAAGTCATACTACCAAAAGTTACTTTTTTTTAATCTTAATTTAAATAGTAATCCCATGTTTATTTTCGTAAAAATGTTGTTTTGTTTTATTGCTAATGAATCAAAGTTTTAAAGAAAGTTTTACAGAAATATTTCTTCGATATTTTTGTTATAATTTTTTGTTTAAATGTTAAGAGGTACGATATAAAGGTAACTTTCTGCTTTGTACTTACAGACAATTTTTATTGTTTTTTAAAGTACACACCTTATATTTTTTTTCTACATAATTGCCGCTGTTATTAATGCATTTATTATATAACGAAACACCTACCCTTCGTCGTAGAAAGTTATGTGCGCCTGTGAGACAAATCATATGGTGACAGCTTCTTTGACCTTGTCGTTATTGTAGAATCGCCTACCAGCAAAAGAGGATTTGAAATTTATTTTCTCTTCAAAACACGCATCAACTAAATTAACCACGTCATTAACCACGGTCGCCCGCTCCATTCATCGTCTTGTACATTTTCGCATCCTTCATTGAAAAGTCGTATACCCATCTTTGTACCATTTCATGCATTCACAGAGAAAACTAATCAGTGAGCGCTCAATGATTCTTTAATATGATTGGTCCTACATTTAGATCTATCGAAGGTCTAAAGATAAGAACCAATGATATTAAAGAGTCATTGTGTATTATGTTTCTTAAATAGCAAACATTAATCATATAGCACTATTCCTGAATAAAAATTGAATCAAAAAGTCCTCTACCTTTTTGTAATTTTCGCAATGATTGACGAAATAGTAATTTCTAATTGCCGAATAAGCTGAATCATACATAATGCTATTTCCAATAAAAACTGAACCGAAATTGTAGGAGACTTCGACTTAATTTTTAATCAGGAATAACGCTATATAATTAGTGTCCGCTATTTAAGAAATACCCTGTACATATATGATTTTTGATATTTCTGTTATTATCTAAAAAATGGAATACAATTGATAAGTATATAAGTATATGCGAAGAGTGGAAAATAATAAGCAAGATTCTTTACAAAGTGATATTATCTTTCTCGTATCATCTTTCTTTTGCTTGTATAAATCAATTTTTCCTCCTCTTTCGTTCCAAGAATATTATTTTTAGAAATAGATTATATAAAAATTAAATTGTTAAAAAAATTTATTATATTATTAGTAAAAACATAATACAGTTTTGCATGAGATTCTACATGATTATAGGCAGTTATTAAATCCAATGAACTATACGTATCAGTTTCTATGACTACAATGAACAAAACATTAGTCGCGTTCGTTGTGGTTTGTTGCTATTCCCTATATCGTGATAATTTGTCATCACTGTCATTAATATGTACTATACGTAGACGATGCGTTGTCAATAATTGTATTTTCAGTGATCAGACATCTCTTATTTAATATTTAATTTACAATTAACTTGTGACTAACGTCTAACATTCTAATACAAGAGTCCATTTTCGAGAAATGGATTCCGAAAAAAACGATCCCGGTAAAATTGGAGAACAGTTGATTACTCGGTGGCGACAAAACCAGGAAGATGTGCTCATTACCTCGAACAAAATCGATAGGCCGCCGACGGGTTTCGTGAGACCTCAAAGCAAGTTTGAACGACCAAGGTCTCGACGTGGACATAAGGATGAATCGTCGGATTATGTCAATTCGACTATGTATCGTTCAGCAACACCAGGACGCCTTGCTCTCGCGAGACCACCATCGGCGTCTCTTTTGTCGAATCGTGCACCAACCGCGGGTCCAGGCGGATTCAGGATAGGTTCCGGACTGAGTCGTTCTGGCACAGGACTAGCAACCGCTAAGCAGTTCAATGTCAGTGTGTTGGATAGACCGATTACCCAGCATGGAATAGCAGGCATACGACCAGGTACCACCAGAGGTTTACCGATGACGAGGTAATGGTGTTACGTAATCTCGCTGTTGGTACATTTGTACATATTTTATTAATTTTTCAAATTTTCAGGCAGATTCAAGACAAGAGGTACTACGAGGGTCTGCTGCAGCTGAAAATAAGAGAACTAACGCAAGAGATCGGAACGATAATGAAGGACATTGAAGTGCAGAACAAGGAGAAAGCTACTTTCTTGCATTACGATAAGAGAGCCAAAAGCCTTGCCGCAGAGTTGACGAATCTACAGGCTGAATTAGCGGATTACAATCTTGTCGTGGATAAAATGACTCTGGATGTGACCAAGGAGGTGATCGAAGAGGAGGCTAAGGAACTGGCGCTGATGAATGAACGTAGGACGGCAGAAGTCGAGCGGATGTTTGAGCAACGGAAGCAGATGGAACAAAAACTGCATACGACAGAAAAGGATATCGAGAATGAGAGAAAAAGGACCGAACATATCATTGAGAGTATGGATCCACCCACAAAAGAGAAATACGATAATCTATTCCGACAGAAAACAGAATTGCAGGAACAAGCACAGCAGATGCAGCGCGAATTGGACCAACTGTCAAAAGAGCAAGCGCGTTTGGAGGAGCAGATCGCTCTCTCTCCATTAAAGCAAGAGGCGGTGAAACTGCAAGTGAGAATCATCGAGGCAGAGGAAAAGCGGGACAAACTACGGGAGGAAGAACGCAAAAAATTATCACCAGAAGATGAGAAGGAGCAACTGTTACAGAAAATCAAGCGTGACAATACTGACATTGCTGCGACAGAGGCGCAAATAGTTGAGAAGGAGAAAAAGGTGGCAGAACTCGAGCAACAATTGGAACAGCTGGAGACTGACATGGAGGATAATCAATTAGAAAAACAAACCAAATATCAGGAATTGCGTAAGCGTGAGGAGATGATGGAGGAGTTTATGTCCACATATGAACAGAGCAAACAAGAGGAAATGGAGAAACTGGAAAAACTCGAGCAGGAGATTGTTGACAAGCTAGAGACCATGGCGAACGCGGTAGAGAACAACGAGTACCTCACGGAAGCTGAAGAAACAGCTATTTTACGTGATAAATTCCCATACAATGATTACGAAACCGTACATCGCGATGATGACTTTGAAGAGCTAAAGAAAGATTATGCAACTATGCAACAGACATTTAACAGACTAAGGATTCTAGAAGAGAAGCTGCAGCTAGAATCCAAATTGATGAAAGAGAAGCTGAAGAAACAACAGAGCGAATTAATTGTCCTAGAGGATTTGGATGGCTTAAAAACACGAAATGAACTCGAACGAGACGAATTAATCACCGAACGAGAAGGACTGGTGTCCGAAGAGTCGATCTGCGAGGACGAGCTCAAGTCACTGTATACGGAATATAACGAACTTAAAGAGCGAGTGGAGAAATATGCGATTTATCCAGAGATCAGTAATTTAGAAGATAAATTAGAAAAATTGAAAGAAGATAATAAAAAAATCGAGGAATTCATAACTAAAGAAAAGGAGCGCGTTAATTATGAGCCGGTCAAAGAGAAAGCTTTCGAACTAATTAACAGTTATGGAGCGCTACTCCGAGAGGATCTCAAATCTCTTTATTAGATAATATGCTTTACGCTATATCTATATAACTAATATTATTTCTATATTCATCTCCTAATATAGTATTTATTTGAAAGTTAATGAATAGTAGTCAACAATAAGACGATAGAAATTCTCGGAATAAAAAATTTTATTTTTTCATACTTTATTATACAGATTGCCAAGTTTATTTTAATTTCTATTATTTGGTTATTTTATATATCTTTGGATTATCGTTATCCGACATGTGTTGTCCTTAAGATTCCTGTTTATTCACTACTCTCTCAGATTATGATGTCAGAAGCGAGAAAAAAATGCATAATAAAAATTCTTATAAAATATATTAAAATCAAAATAAGTGTTGCAATAAAACAACACTCACAATTGATAGAACTGATTTTTTTAATATACCGAAAACAATTTCTTTTTATTTCATTAATTAAGAGGATGCTGGAGTGAACTTGATCGATGTCGATAGTTAAAAATTTTTTAAATTCCAAATAAAGTCGATAATAGTGACAACTTTAATTAATTGTTTATATTATTCTGTCTGACTCAAATGCATACATCTGTTCTTATCTAATACATTGCGCCATCTCTTGCAAAATCGAGCACCTACTAACTAGACACTATTATTGCTTTGTTTATTACCATTTTAATTTGTTCAGCATTTGTACACCTAATTTGCAGATCAATATAAATCTTTTGTTTTTAATTTTATTTTCATAAAGTTAGAGCTGTAAAATTTTTATACTAAACGTGGAGTTCTTAAAGTTAGACTTATAACTTCTGCACACTGAACGTCATGAAGTTGATATTAAATCTTTCCTCGTGCAAGAAAATATTCAATACCAACTTCTTCTCATGACGCGAAACAGGTCGATATTCATAGTCAATTTTTACATTAAAGACTATCTTAAGTCAATCTTAAGATGTCATAAATCAATCCGAGGACTGTATTAACATCTTAAGACATTTAAGATGTTTAAGATGGTTTTAAAATAAAAGTAGACTATGAATACCGCCCCATGTTTCACGTTTCATAATTGGTAGACTGCGCACTTAGAGACAACGCGAAGCAAAAGTAGGCGTGGTTCGGCCAAATTGAGCACACCTGCGATCCTTCTACCATGAGTGAATATCTGAACGCAGCCTAAAATGTAATGGATATACGAAAATTTAAGTGTATGTATGGCATGCGTCATCATGGCAATATGGCAATAGCATATAAATCGTCTGTGTAAGTACTGTTTTCAATGATTTATATGACTTAATCGTCTTTGGGTTCCCTTAACTAACCTGGAAATTAATTATGCATAATGAAAAAAGCTATTTTCACGGTGATATATAATTATAATTATAATAATATATAGAAATAAATGTGATTTAAATTTTTTCTCGAAACAAGAAGATAGTTCTTGATATATTTTAAAAGTCTATTCTCTCGATTGTAAGTATCTTAAAAAAATTTCTATTTGAATATATATATTTTACACAAATTTATGTATTTTCTTACTTCCAATGTTACAATCTGAGATAATAGTGATGAATGATCCAAAGTTTTAATATTTAAATTCATTAATTAGTAATCACTAATGTTTATTTCACTTTTTGTTCTCCAATTCTGGAGGGAGCGAAATTTTATTTGACAATAAAAATTGAATAAAACTCTTCTTGAACTGTTCAGTAGGCTTGATATTCTTTGTGCACATAATTTTCCACAGATTTAAAGCACGGTTGCAGTCTCCTATTTTATCTGCAAATATAAATATTAAACATCTACATTAGGATCGTTTAAATTTTAAAACAAAAGTAATAACAATAAGCTCAAAGATTAATATAGTGATAAATACCAGTTTGGGCCAACACAGGATATTTGGTGTGTGATCAATTCTTTATTTATCAAAAATGATAAACGTTTCAATCTTTGCTCCTCTTCAGTACATCTCTGGGTAATATTGAACACAATCTTCGTAATGTGATTCTGTGGCTAACTATTGTTTTATCACTATTTGTTTTATCACTATTTTATGTACTAAGAGGATCCAAAGCGAGGGTCGAAACGTTTACCACTTTTGATTAATAAAAAAGAATCGTATCACATACTAATATCCTGTGTTGATTCATACTGGCATTTATATATCACTAAACTTTAAAATGTAGAGAGAATATATAATAGCTTACCGTAAGTAGAAAGGAGCGCTTCACACAGCACATTTTGATTCACATGATTTGAGTCGGTTATTTTAAGAAGATTTTGATAGCCATCTATATTTCTGATATTGTCCATTTTAAGATGGTATAGAAGGGACTTCGTGGAGAGTTTGCCATCCTATAATAGAAAGATTAGAAAGGTTTGATGAAAAGAAATGTAAATCAAGAAATGAAACCAATAGAATTAATTAATTGTTACGCAAATTCAGAACATCATGTAAAACTAAAATCGGTTCTGTAATTAAATTGCAAATCAGAGAAATATAAACTAAATGCCGCAATAAAAGATGTTTCGGTTACCTGTAATAAAGTTTGTACTTTCTCTGTTTGGTTTAACGTTGCTAATGCTATCGCCAGTATCGTGTTTGCTGTTAAATGGGAATAAGTATTACTTATTATATTATACACTTTTTCTATCCAGTTATCATTTTGTAATTTTGAATTGTATTTTTGCTCCAACAATACTATCAATATTTCTATTGCCAAAGGCAAGCTGTAAAATTTTTGCGCGCATTTTTCAAGTGCATTCACGGTTTCTAAGATATTATTGCGTTCTAATGGTATCGCCACCAGTGGTTTTAGCAGCTTCGTGTTTGCTTCACAGTAATTTTTTTCCAGAAGCAAATTTAACATATCATTCGTATACATGTAATACTGACTCTGTGCTAGAACTTGCAGAAGTATATAACAATATTTCTGCGAGTCTGCTTTAAAATCACTGGCGTTGAATGTATCGATAATATTAAAAGCTTTTGTGGGTTTATTTGCCTTCATCAATGCGGTGGCGTATATCACGATGTTGCATTTGTTCAAACAGAATTTATTAGGTGCAATTTGGAATTCGGGTAGTAGTGCTTCAGCCTCGTTCAATTTGTTGTTCTCGAGGTACAATTTAAATAAAATCGATTTCATGCTAAGCGTCCATTTATACTGGCACGCATCATATTTTTGTTTTATCTCTTCAACCTTTTTTAGATTATTATCAAGACAATATAATATCAGCAATCTCTGCAAAGTATTCTTAATATTGATTTTGGGGGGTAAATCAGTGGAATTTTTTATTTCCATTAAGTAACATGTTAATTCTTTAATATCCATGTACCTCGGGTGGAATGTGATCTGCAAATCTATTATAGAAGGATCAACTAAATTTTTTATTAGATTTATCACCTTTGGAGTGAGATTACAATTTTCATTTTTTTGTAGTCTGTTCTTGAGAATGTCTGCATTCTTTTCTGATATCTTTATCTTACGTGTTTTTAATTCTTTCAGGAGAAGCAGTAGATCCTCTATATAAATCGGATATTCGACTTTCATCAATGATTTCAAGAACATACGAATAAAATCTTGATTTTCCGGAGAAAATGCTGTCAATAAAGTAATACAATTTTTGAAGTCTTTAGTGGCGATATAAGTGTGTACTAGCGGTTCTATCAGTTTTTTATAGTATACATATGTATTATTGTAGGACGTGCACAGTGGCATTATGTCCTGCAGCCGATTTTGCTGCAACAGAAAATATAATAAAGGCGTTAATGCGAAAACATTCTGTACGTTATTCAGTAATAGTTTCTGTAAAGTGACAGTCGGATTCATAGTATTTACATATGGATATACGTAATGAGCTAGTGTGTCAAAATCTATTTTTAGATCAGCGTCCACCATAGATTTCAGGAGTGAATATATCCCACTTTCCCCCTCGTCATTATACGCCTTTACCAGTAAAGGCCAATAATAATGCGGTCGTATCTCTATATTCTTATCTTTCATCACCTGGAATATCGCAAGGCATAATTTCTTTCTACCTATCTTCAAACCAATCTCCACTGCATCCAACAATGCTTGTTGGCTACAATCGGATTCAACAAAGTCGTTTGCATACTTAATGATATCGTCAATCGGCACGTTTAATGTTATTAATTCATTCATGAAAGTATTTACAGAACTCGGCATAATCTCCTTCATTGCATTGTTCATTGCAATACAATTTATGATAGTGTGAGCGTCTGCAACTTGATTGATACGTATCAGTTCTGTGATCGTCTTGGAGATCTCAATCTGAAGCGCCGGTACAGAGATCATTAGAAAATTCAAAATAACCGGAATATGCCTGCTGTTATTGGATACGCTCAGAATCTTTATTATCCTCAAAAGATTCGCGTTGTCCTGTGGCTCTTCGTTTAGTATCTTGATTAGATTCGGAATATCGCCAAATTTCGCGTATCCACATGCCAGCTCGATATATGCCTTGGTTGGGAATAATTTAGCCTTCCGCATTTGTGTTATCATTTGCTCAGCTTTGGCGATATTGTTCTGTGTTACGTAAATCTGTATTAACACATTGACTGCCAGCTCATAAATGGTTACACTCTTATCCTTTGTAACAGATAAGATATCCCATATGTGTTCACTATTATTCGTCTTTACAGCTGTATTCAACAGCAAGCGATAAGTATTTTCGTCTGGCTCCACACTCATGTCTGCTAAAAACTTTTTGGGATTCACAGACAAAGAGTTCTCTTCATTAACACCTAGCAAAGTGTTGTAATATTCTAAAGTGATTGCTCCACCTTTCTTCTTTGCCAAATGCCATACCTACAAATAAAAATTTATTTGATCGATCCTTTTTTTGTTTCAATTAGAATATATAGGTACTACTGTTACATTTCTTTTTTTTTTGTCTATATAATACTCTAGGTAGTGAAATGCTAGCTATATGCCAGTAGTTGCCAGCAAATTTGATCATGATTTTTTAATAGAATCTTATCCATCTAGCAACATCCTCTTTAAGCTTAATTTTTTGTCATTAAAATTTGTCATAATATAACAACATAAATGTAGCAGGAATGGAACATTATTATGCCTTATTGTCATAATGTTATAATGCAGAGCTTCTGCTCGTTTTCTAATACATTTTTACCAATATCAGAAAAACAATGAATTGTCTTCAGCTGGACTTTTACGAACATACGTGCAACACAATTTGAAATACATGTTCTTGGCAGATTTCGCTATCTGGGACTATATACTCACAATTATATTTCTAAAGTATTATATATATATATAAACAAATTATGCCTTACCTGCCTCGCTAGATGATTTCTTTCCGTTGTCTCCAATTCGTGCAGTAAATTGCCGCAACATTTGAGCAACAAAACGCCAGTATCGTGAGGTAACCGATAGTCGTTCTTGCTACACTGACTGATAACTTCTTTCAGATCATCTACCGAAACTTGGCCTTTTTTAACATCATCACAAAATAACATCAGTTTGTGATCAATGACGTCGGACGGTGATGATTGCGGCGTTGTATTATATGTTCTTTCCGCTGCGATGTAAATGTCAAGTCGCGGATTTCGAGGATGTACGAGAACATAACCTCCGTATTGCGGTGAATGACTTATCCCGCATCGCGACAAATGCAGCTGCGAGCGGATGAGTGTCAAATATCTTCTCAAATGCAATATCTTATCCTCGATCATCATCAGATCAACAGATAAAGACTATAGAAAACGCGCAAACTAACGTAAACGCAACGCGTAATTACATAAACAAGGCACTAGGCAGCCCGCACTAGCGCATCGTCTATCACATCACGGGCTGACGGGCTCTTTCGCTGAAAATGTGGAATGGAAAGATCTGAGCACAAGAATTGTTGTAACACTTACTTAGACTTAAATTGCAGACGTAAGTAACGCACGAGCTTTCACATATGACGTACAACTTATTGCTGTGTCTCCAAGAGACGGCAATAAATCGTACATCATATTAGGTTGAGTAAAAAGTCATCGCGTATTTTTTAGTTCAAAGTTGTATATACAATATCTTCGTCAATAATGAATCAAATTTAAAAAAAGGGTTTTAAAGCTTGAAATCTCTACTTTAAATCTGAAATCTCTCTTTTAAAAGCTTATCACATTTTTTAAGTTTATATGAGTTTGATAATTTTTACATACCAAAAACTACGAGTTGAAAAAGACGAAAAATTTTCTTCTCACTTTGTGGATTTGTAACGTGTCCAAAACGAATTTGAGAAAATTTTCGATTACCTATCGTGAAAGCTTGATACTTTCTCTACAAAATCGTTTTTTTTTAATATTCCTACGACTTTTGATTACTGAGTTATCGCGGATTAAATAAAAGAATTATTTTGACTTTAATTGCTCATAACTCCATTAAAAATTGTCGTATCGTATAATTCAAAAAAGAGATTTTTAAAGCTGAAACTTTACTCTATCAAGATATATTTATATTGTTGGTAAGAAAGTAATTGCAGTTTACTGATAGATGTCTTTTAAAAAAACGCGATGACTTTTTACTTAACCTAATACGTCAAAGCTTGTGCGTTACAGAAAATTCGAAAATCTTCAATTTTTTTTTTTTAAATTAAGAAATTGCCTACTCAACAAACAAGCAATTTTATTTGTGTTCTTATATCTAGATAATATATTATTAAAGTCATGATTCTTTACCCAGCAAACGAGAATGGATTAAAATGGATTGAAATTTTTTTCTATCCGAATGCACACACACACACACACACACACACACACACACACACACACACACATTTTAAATTAGAGATATATATGCTCCATGCAATTCCTATAAATGAATAAAAATGCATTCAGGATTGAAAAGCATTCATTTTAACATTCATGAATCAATATTTCTGAAAATCTGAATCCATTTCAATTCATTTCAATCCATTCTCGTTTGCTGGATATTATACGTACATATAAGCATTCCATAAATAAATATGTGTACTTGTAATGCAATAATATATCTTATATATTGATATTTTATTATTATATATAAATGTTGCATAAATATAAGTATGTATACTTGTAATGCTATAATATAGCTATTTATTCGGTTGCGGTGTATTAGTGTGCGCTAGACGTGAATGATTGAATTTAATAATTCGAAAGTAACAAATTTGTCACTTTTAAAAGCCTCAAGGCATCAATTTTTTATTAAAAATATTGTGTACACTGCGCGGATTTTGTGTAACATAAGTTATTATAAATTAATAATCCCTATTATTGTAATACAATTGAAATATCTAAGGTATAGATGAGTTTTGTGGGTGTGTGCGCGCGCGCGCGCAAAGAATCTAAGCAATAAAGCAATAAAACCTCCCTATTCATCGAAGAATATAAAAAATGTAACGAGAATAGATTATTTTACTTATTTCGTAATATATGCAATAATATTTCGACAGTTAAACGGTTGGCGCGCGTCCTTGGAATTTGTTTTGCCGCGAAGAGCAGATAGACGGCGCGTCATATACTATATGCTTACACATAGTCACCGCGCAGTTATTATTACCGAGGCTCGTAGGTAGTCGTGTCGCGTGTTGCTTTTCTTCAAATTTCTTTTTGAAACGTAATCGCGACAAATGCTAGATATAATTAACAGTTGTACTTTATGAATACTCACAGTAGATATACGATTACTATCTCGCACGATTAATTATTCATAAAAGAAATGAAATGACAATCATGGATCATTAAACAGATATTTCGTATGGTTCAGTCATTTGCAATCAAAACGCGATGGGAAACCGAATTTATCACTATTTTGCGATAATTACATACGACGATAATTATTTTTGTTTAACATAAAATTTTTGTCTCGCTTGTGTAGAGTATAACTCGCGATTATGCTTCGAACGAGAGTAAAAGGTATTACACGAGTCATGAAAAAGCACCGTTAATAAATATTCTCATATGCAAATGGCGCGATTTATGCGATGTTATTTCTACCTTTACATTTAATATAGTTTATGTAATTAATAATTTAATTAATTTTTTCTTTTCGTACATATTTTGTGACACGATCCGTATAGAAAATTGAGAGTAACTTTGGAATTATTTGTCCATAATAAAAGAAGTATTTCTCTTTTTTATTAATCTCTAGCTCATTCTATTGAATCTAATCATAATATATAGATAATAGTATATTAAATTTTTCAGATGATATTTTCCCTCTCACGGGTACGACCTTGACGTGGTGGGAGGACTCAGTATCCGGAGGATATACACGAAAAAAAAAAAAAAACGATTTTTCTTTACGTATCTAAAAATCTTTCGGATCTATCTGAATAATATAATATATTTAGGTAAATTTTTAGATACTTGAGTAAAATCGTTCTCTTCGTGTTCAAAAATCCAATGACGGAGAAGCTACGCCTCGTCGCCGATTTAATTGAAAGAAAACCGCAGTCGGTTCGTCGCGTCGCGCGTTTGCTTCGGGAGTGTCGTTAAAGTTATCGGACTAATAGACTTCTCAAAACTCATTCGATGGAATTGTATAGTTCGAAAGACTTTTCTAAATAATTAGTTCACGCGTGATTATAATGTATTATTTGCGTTTTACGCGAGTTTTCTGTGCGAGAGAATGTCAACCCGATTCTAAGAGGAGGAGGAGGAGGTCTGGGAGAGACAATCGGCGGAGTAACTTTGCGGTAAATGTCATGTTTTATTTATGTAAAATCTTTCAGTATCTTTCTTCTGTTTATTTTTCAGTCGTTTTATTTTACAATTTAAAAATTATAATTAGAAAAAAAGGATTATTTAAACTTGTTGGAAGCGGCGTATTTGCAAACAGTTCAATTGCACACATCAGTCACATCGACCGGTTCCTAATAATTTTTAACTGCTTTATCAATGAAATTATATTATTATAAATTAGCCAATTAGCGATGTGGGCAATTGATATACACTCAAATTATTTCGAAATTTTATAAATATATATTTTGAAGATCTTTTTTAGAAAATGTTATTTCTATAAAAATATCTAACTGAATAGTGAAATCTATAATATCATGTTACATCCAGTTTGAGTTATTTTTAATTATTCTTATATAATGTAAATCCGCTATTAGAAATTTGTCCTAAATTATATTCAGCTGTCATTATGTGCAATATTACATTATATATTCTCACATAATACTACATTTATCCTTAATCGGATTAACAACATTTAATAACATCCAGTTTAATAACATATAGTTATGAAACTGGCTAATCACAGTCATTCCAGTCTTCACAGGAGTAGCTATGATTAGTCAGTTTCATAACTACAGATGTTATTAAATCTGATTAAGGGTGCTGTGTAAACATAGTCATTGGCTAGATTGGGTCGTCTCTCAATTTGTCTGGATAATCTGCGTTTTACTGTAGACAATTCAGTATAATGCACTAATAACAGCTGAACGATGAATTTCGGAATTAACAGAAGCATGCATGTAAATATCTTTTCCATATTTCGATTTTACACATATATATATATATGTGACAATTTATCATAATAAAATACATTTCACACATAGTGAATCAGTTACATGATGCAAGCACACACAAATACACAATAATATTTTGTAATGATAAGTATTAAATAAATAGATGTACAAATATGGAAAATTACAAAATGAATAGATTAAATATTACATAAGTATCGAGACGAGAGATATAAATTATAAATAGGACTTAAATACGCGGAATAAATATGTGATTAAATATACGACGTACTTTAGGGTCTATGGAAATTATTAAACCACACTAAAAGCAATAAATATTTCACAAACTTCCTCACGCTAGAAAGCTCTTTAGTATAGATAAATATTATTTCGTGGTATACAAATATACATATATGTATTGTTCTTCGATATAATAAACAAATAAGTAAAAAGTTATATAATAAGTAAAGTTAATTTTCCATCACGTTTATCTTATGAAAGTTTAAATTCTCATTACGCAATTCGATGTAATAGTGATGTCGCATAAATGTCGCTCGTTAAAACATAAAAAATGTACATCGAATAAAAAATTAATAAATTAAAAAACCTAAATAAAATACTTCTTGATGCGTTGCATAATGACAGGGGAAAATATAACGATTAAATACGTGGAATAGATATTAAAGTAGGCGTAATAGAGAAATACAACTATATAAATATATATTATATACGAGAAATTAAATACGAAATGGCAAGTATAATAAATACGCAAGCGGTTAAATACATGAGGTTTTTTTAATTATTTATTATTCCACGTATTTGTTCGTCTATTTACTTATTACTAAAGACCCTATAGTCAGAGCCTGCCACGATGTAGCCCTGTGATTGATCTGACATTTTGTTTCAATTCGTCGCAGTTGTTTGAAATGTATTTCATTATCTAGCCTTTTGACAATGAATTGTTGCAGAAAAATGCGCATTTTTTGCTCAGAAAGCTATGTTTACTTAGAAAGAAATACTTATAGTTAAATATTATGCAAAATCGAGGAACAGTTGTACTATACATAACTACTATATTCTTCTTCTTTTAATAAGTTTTCTGTTTTGGTTTTTCCTATTATAAAAGGTACGAAATGCGATAAATTTTGCGTATATCCTCCTTGGAAAGCAAAGGACACATCTTTTAGGAATCACGAATAGCATCTCTTTCTATATGACTTGATCTTTCTTGACTAGATCTCTTAAAAGCCTTTATGTGTTTTTAATCATCTCTGATTTAATTAATAGGATTTGATACTGGATAGTAATATGCGACTGGGGCAATATTGCCTCTGATTCTAAACAGAATCTCACTAGCATTTAGCTTATAGTTTCATAGATGGAGCGATGTTCTTCATATTTTGTTAACGCAGGAAAAATCCTGCGTATATGTGTGTGAGGTATGGATAGAATCGAACCCGGATGTTAGTCCGTGGATCAAGCCACCGAGCCACCCAATTGGCCAGACTTTG